GGATTGCGAGTCGAGTGCCTTAACCACCTGGCCATGCTGGGCGACCAAATAAGTAAGGCAAAAACCTTCGAATTCTGTCACAGTTACTAGTAATATCTATAAAATATCGCGATGACCAAATGTTTTTGGGCTAACAATGAGTTGTGTTAAAACGGTTCACTTGGATACAAGTGATGAGGCCGAGTGTTTTTGTTTTTGGGAAAGAAAAGGTCAAACAGAGGGAAGAAGATCAAAATTTTTTCACCAGGATCTAGATATAAATATTTTAAATATTTAATTAATAGCTGAAATGGTGCAAAAAACACCATATAAAGTTCCCCCCAAAAGTAAGAAGAAACACATTGTTTCTCTGAATTTTAGTCAATGCCTGTTTTTTTTTCTCATCTCAGAGCTATAAAATTATTCTAAACTTACAAAGCTGCTCAATCTCTTAAAAAACAAGTTTAACTGAAAAAAAAATGAATAAATATGCTTAGTGTTTAGGTAGTTACTGACATCAGTAATATAGCCATTGATTTAATTGCCAAATTTCACATAAACTTGAATGGAATGTTAAAAACAAAAATATGTTGTTTTAGACTATCATAGTCATAATAACATTAGCATCTTTTTAAAAGCACAATAGTTGAAGTCTATTGTGAACCAGTTCAGTTTACCTTGTATCTCCGTTGTTTACGAGAGAGTTTATTCACTCCTGTACACTTCGAAAACACTTTGGCAAACAAGATCAGACCACGAGCACTAAAATCGTTCATCATGTGTCAGTGACGAAGTATCTAATAGTTGTCACGAGGCTTGACTAACCATATAAATAATAAGCCCTCTAAGTCACTGACTGCAGGTTAAAAAAAAAATGTTTGTTTGTTTTGAATTTCGCGCAAAGCCACACGAGGGCTATCTGCGCTAGCCGTCCCTAACTTAGCAGTGTAAAAAAGAAAAATAACTTGGTTATTTGTTGAACTTCGCGCGAAGCTACTCGAGAACTACCTGTGCAAGATAGCTATAATCTAAAAGCGATAGACTAAGGGGAAGGCAGCTACTCAACACTGCTGACCGCAGAATCTTATATTTTAAATGTAATGAAATATTCGTCTGAAACACATCGAGATAACTGGCATAATTAAAAATATCCTTTCGATTTAGACTCATATAACACTTAGGCCTACATTCTTGTTAGTATGTATAACTCGTTTTCTTATGCTAATCAGTTAAGAGAAACTGTGTATTAATTTTTCATGATGTATTCATTCACAAATTATCTGTTGATATTGGTTTAATGTTGGAGAAAGAGACAAATATTTGATGTTTTCTTTACTAATCTAAAAACGTGACCGAGAATTTGTTTTCCAAATAAATAATCGGAATTGTTTTACGCTTTTAAAGATTTTGGAGCGAAACATAAGGATTAAACAAACGAAGTTTTCACACGTGTTTAAATCTTTTTAACAATTCGAAAGTAATAAAACAATAATCATCATAAAATTTCAGAGTTGGCGAACGCAAGTGACGAAAAAGTAAATAAATATATATATATAAAGAGAGATTTTTAAATCGGTAGCTACAATAAAAATAAATAATAAAATAATCCATAACCACGCTCTAAAATAACATGAAATAAAAGAGCAAAAATTCGCCACAGAAGTCAAAACATTGAACACACCAACCAACTCGTCACTATAATCTTGGAAACGGGAATTTGAATTTGATACCAGGCAAAGTGTCGTATATTAATCTTTGGAACACAACTTCAAAAAATAGAAGGATGATTACAGTCTTAAAAATCTCGGTTTAAGGTTACAGTCTGAGCACAACACTTCCTATAAAGTTAGCCATACACCACTTTCAAAATTTTTTTTTTATATTTAACAGAAAAACAAACTCGAGAGCACTGAAAAAACAACAACAAAAATCCCCGTTATTCGGGATTTTATGTCAGTGAATCGTGACAATACTCGATAGGTATGATTAAGTTGCTTATCCATCTCTATCACATAACATATCTTACAATGCTAGAAACCGGGTTTCGATACCCGTTGTGGGCAGAGAACAGATAGCCCATTGTGTAGCTTTGTGCTTAATTCCAA